TGAAAGTTACAAAGGAATTATCAGGTTATTTCTCATTTTAGTATTCTGTGAATCTTTATAATTCAATATTAATATTCTCATTTTAATATATTCTTTGAATCTTTGAGAAAGTTTTTACATGTGCCATCTCCACACACTGTTAATGCATTGTCCCAATTTATGATCGAGTGCTTTATGGATTGGAACATTGAGAACAAGTTGTCAACATTGACATTTGACAATTGTTCAACAAATGATGCTTTGGTTGACAGGCTCTTTGGTACTCTTACTTCTTCTTCCTTAATTTTAAAGGGTAAGTTGTTTCACATGAGATGTTGTGCGCATACCATTCATCTCATTATGCAAGATGGGTTTTCTGTGATTGAGAAAACATTCAAGAATGTTATGGATGGTGTCTCATTTTAGACATGTTCTCCTAAAAGAGCCCAAGAATTTAGATTTGTTGCACAACAATTAGGTGTAGATTGTGAAAGAGAATTAGTGTTTGATTATAAGACTAGGTGGAATTTTGTTTATATAATGTTGAATGTTGCTTTAGAATATAAAGATGTTTTTTACTCGTTTGAGCAAGAAAGAGAAACATTATGTTTCTTTACCTAGTGAATAGGAATGAGAAATGACGACTGATGTATGCGATAAATTAGGTTTATTTTATCGTGGGACTGAGACATTCTTCGGGACCAAGTATCCTACTTCCAACATGTTCTTCCCCTTGATATGTGACATAAAATTATCAACTAAGAGTTGGCAAGACTATCAGAATGACGTTACTAGGAACATGACATCAAGTATGTTGCTTAAATTTGATAAATATTGGGGAGTCATATATGATGTGATGAGTGTGGCTATTGTTCTAGATCCTAGATATAAGTTAAAGTTGATCAATTATTTCTTCCCAAAAATTTATGATGTGGACACAAAAAGATAAGGTTATGAGGATTCTTACTCTATGTAATGATTTATTTGAAGAGTACAAAAATAAAAATGATCAGAATAAAAGGAAAGGACAAAGTAGCACTACTATCTAAAGTGGGGGGAAACTCTTATTCAAACAAGGCCTCATGATAATTGGATTTTGAGAATATGATCTCTGAAGATGACATGTTTGAAACGACCGAGTTGGATGATCATTTGTTAAAGAAATTGTTACCGCAAGATGAAAGATTTGATATATTAATGTGGTGAAAGTGCAACGGTGCTAAGTTTCCTATCATGCAGAGGATTGCGAGGGATGTATTGACCATTTCTATTTCTACAGTTGCTTCAGAATCGGCTTTTAGCATGAGCGGAAACAAGATAACGAAACAACGAAGTCGACTAAATCGCAAACAGTTGGAGCATTGATGTGCAACCAAAGTTGGTTAAAGAAATAAATTGACGGTAATAACTATATAAATTGTTTGTTATAATAATTATATAAATTGTTATATACAATTTTTCTGACTTACACTATTTTTATTTCAGATAAAAAACATGGAGAACAAAAAGAATTTGATCAAACGATTGCACACAATGAGGATGTTGATTGTTGAGTGGAATTATAACTATAATTATGTGTTGCTTGGAAAAACAGAGAGTTAACCACTGATTTAAAGTCTTTCATCCATTTACTCTTGTTAATGTCATCATTTTTATAGGATTCTCATAATTTTGTTGGATTAAATCATTTGAAATCTTTTAATGTTAAATTATGAATACATGAAATCTTGGTATTTAGTTTTCTGTTTTGTGTGTAGCAGTAAGATCTACTTGTGTTTTCATGTAAATATATGCAGTTTTAGCAGTAGCGGACGCACGTTTAAGGGGTAGGGGGCCTGGGCCCCCAACAACATTTTAACACCAAAGCCCAAAAAAAAAATTTACTTGTATTTTTAATTAAGTGTTGTTTGGGCCCCCAACAATATTTGACAAAGGCCCCTCTACTCTAACTCTAAGTCTCTAACCTGCACACCAGTCACCAGCACACGGGAACGAGAGAGGATGCGAGACTCGAGAGCGAGACAGACCGCAGACGCAGAGAGCCAGAGAGGAGGCGACTGGCGACTGGCGAGACCTTGCCACTGCGACGACGACTGTCGACTGGTGCTGCCGCCTGTGACCTGCACGAGAGGAGGCGAGACCGCGAGAGAGAGTCGAGACCGACGACGACTTGGCTCCTGGCTGCTTGCTGCCTTGGTAATTGGTAAGTAAATATTCTAAATTTCTAATTCTAATTTCCATCTTCAAGTTTTCAATTAGTAGTATTTTAGGTTAATTTTGTGGTAATTGGTAATTGGTAAATRCTTTAGGTTAGGGTTAGGTATTTATTTTATGTTAATTTTGTGGTAAATGGTAATTGATAAATGCTTTAAGTTAGGTATTTATTTTAGGGTAATTTTGTTGGTTAATTTTGTGGTAATTGGTATTTGGTAAATGCTTTAGGATTTAGGTTAATTTTGTTGGTTATTTTTGTGGGTAATTTTGTAGGCAATTAGACAAATCAAATGGAAAGATTTTTTAAAAGGAAAGCTTCAACACCTGAATCGAGCTCTGCTCCTTCGATGTCTTCCGAAATTGATTTGAACGATCTTCCTTGGGATCCGGCCGATAGAAAAAAGATTTCAGAATATCATCCTAATCAAAGGGATGAAATAAGGAGAAAATATTTGCTCAGAGGACCTTGTCAACCACGAGGTCATGCATTTCCAAAAAAATTTATCGGGAGTAAAGAAAGACGTTTTTGTCCGACTTGGTTTGATCAATATGCTAATTGGTTGGAGTATAGTGTAAAAACGGATAGAGCCTTTTGTTTGTGTTGTTATTTGTTTAGAGATAATTACGTAGGACAATGTGGGA